TGGCACAGGACCGGCCTCGCAGCAGCCACAATGCCTCCAGGTGGGTGAGACAGCAGAGGGTGATGCCAGCCCTCACCTTCTGCCCAGGCCTCTCCTGGCTCTTGAGGCCACGTGTTCTGCTTCAGGTCAAGCTGCTCTGACATACAAATCTCATTTTTATCCAACAGCATTTAAATTAATGCAGACTTACTCAAAACTGAAACTTACTGTGCCAAGCTCTTAAGCTGTACAGTGTCAGGCAATAAATAATCTGAGGAGATTTAAGGTACATTTGTGTTCTGTACATGAGAAGAATTCCCTCTGTTTCCATCACTGCATAGAGCAGAGGTGGTGTGTGAAACATGACAACAAAATACTTGCTGCTTTTGCTTAATGCTGAAGTTTATTTCTTTACAGAAGAGTCTGTCCCACGAACACAAGTGGAGAGAAGGAAAACGAGTCCCTATTTTTCCAGTAAATACAGCAAAGAAGGTATTGTATTTAGGGTAATACATTTTTTTATGGGGAAGAGATCGGATAGCTCAGGATCAAGTGATGATGTGGAAAATTCCTTGCAGCTTTCACTGGCTGCAGCTGTGCCAAGTGGGACAGTCCCCTGCAGCCGTGTAAAGGCCGTGTGGGAGCTGCTGTGGCTCCCTCTATGCACAGTGCCTCCACAATAATGCTTCAGAGGTCTTCTTTTTTTTTTCATTAAATAGGTAAGGCCATCCTTTGCTGTCTAATAAACATTCCTGTGTTGCCCCTGTACAGCCCTCAGCCCACCCAGAAGGAAGGCCCTCAGAAAATGGACTCCTCCACGTTCTCCTTTCAATCTTATCCAGGAAACACTCTTCCATGATCCATGGAAGCTTCTCATTGCCACGATATTTCTCAACAAAACTTCAGGTAAGCAGAGTAGCAGGAATAGGTGTGTAGATGTTGGGAGGTGTTAGGGGGCTGAAACAGCTGCCAGTTTTAATGGCATTAATGAAATAATTGATTTCTTTTAACTTGTGTCACTGTGAAATAATAATCCTTAGTTGGTACCGTACCTTGCAAACGCTCCCTTGAGAAAGCATATGGATAGTGCAGAAGGAGAGCCCCATCCCAGCCTCCCGCTCACGGGATTCTTTCACCAGGGAAAATGGCCATTCCAGTGCTCTGGGAGTTCCTGAGGAAGTATCCTTCTCCTGAGGTAGCCAGGGCTGCAGACTGGAAAGAAATGTCAGAGCTGCTCAAACCTCTGGGCCTCTATGAACTCAGAGCCAAAACCATCATCAGGTTCTCAGGTGGGTTTTCCTGACATCTGGAACCATCTTGGTTATGCTGGCAAAAGACAAACGGCTTTGATGCAAACGCTGCTCTGGGGATTGGGTGGGTTGGTGTCTGTTTTGTGCAGCATTTGGGATCCATTGGTGTCACACAGGCAGAGCTGCTGATCCCAGTGAGGCCTGGGAGGGAAACGCCAGGCACGGTGTGTTCTGCAGGAGACCAGAAACGGGTTGGGGTGGGAGAGACCCACGCACCTGCAGCACTGCTGCTGTGGTTGAGCACTGTCTCAGGGCGGCTCTGCTCACGGCTGCTCTGGTGACCTGCAGAAGGCCCTCCCAGCTGGGATTTTTCTGATTCTGTACTCAGAACCTGCCCAGGAGAATTTTGTTCAGATGAGAGAGATTATGATTAAAACTTCCATGGTGGTTTGTTGAAAAGCAGTTTAATGTGGTATTCACATTCTCTAAACAGAGAATGTAAACACCACAGTTTAAGATTAAACCGTGCACCAGGAAACACCTGAAACTTTTGGTTTTCATGTGAAATGTGCCGAAGTCAAGTCATGTAGCAGTGGCACAGGGTGCTCGTGTGCGTGTGCAGGTGCTGAGTGCTGTGCCCTGCCCCGCAGGTGAGTACCTGAGCAAGGCGTGGCGCTACCCGATCGAGCTGCACGGCATCGGCAAGTACGGCAACGACTCCTACAGGATCTTCTGTGTTAACGAGTGGAAGGAGGTGGGTGGTGCCCTTCGGGTCTCACTTGTGCCCACCGACCCCCTGGCACTGGAAAACCAACACTCACAATGTTGGAGCGATGAGATATTTTAAGGTGTTTTAGTAAATATTTGACATTTTCCCTGTGTCTCAGGTGCAGCCACAGGACCACAAGTTGAACGTGTACCACACATGGCTGTGGGAGAACCGGGAGAGGCTGAGCATCGACTGAGCTGAGCTGGGGCTGACCTGCCCCACCACCTCCCCTCGGG